TTTGAAAATTTTGGATTTTGGCCCAAATTTTTTTCAAAAAACCGACTTTTTTGGGAAAATAGTTATAAAATCCAAAATTTTGAGTGTATCGAAAAAAACGGAATATATGTCAGAGAACTGGTCTATGTGCACCTACATACCAATTTTTAGAAGAATTGGTTCAAAAATGTGGGAGTTATTCAAAATTTAATGACGTCACGACACACACAAAAATTGAAAAATGAATTTTTTGGAAGTTCTAGACCTCTTACGGAAACAAAAATAGCACCATTCGATTCGCCGTGAAAAACTGCATCAGATAGACACCTTTTTAGGCCTTAACAACCAACTTCAAAATTTGACCTCACTTGACCTGACCTTGACCTGACCTCGACCTGAAATTCATCCAGAGGTGGTCCATATTACTTATTGAGTGTGCCTATTGAATTCTATGAGTAAAATGACCCATAAAACATGTGTCGCACATGCCCTTTTCTATATTTTGTTTTTGGTGACCTGACCTGACCTGACCTGACCTTGACCTTGACCTCTGAATGATATTGTATGCAACGAATATTGTCTTGGTAGCCTAAGTACACGTTTTGGGCAATCAGTCTCAGTCCATGACTCCATTCTTCGGCAACTACGGTGCAAGGCCGATACTGTAGAAACTTGCAATTTGTACCCTTGACCTGACCTTGACCTTGACCTCAAATTTTAAATAAAGTACATGTTTTTAGTTGTTCGTGATGAGATCTTTCGATTGGCGTTCGAATTTTCCAAATCGGACCATTAGTTCGGGAGATAACAGGGGGGGGGGTAAAATTTACCCCCCCCCCCAGCCCCGCGCGTTCGGCTGGAGACCCCAGCCCCGCGCGGGTTACGTCATAGTTTCAAATATTTTTTTTATTTTTGTAGGGTTAGAATACCTAGACATATTTGAGGAAAGCTCGGTGGTTGTAACACCTATGATGACAACACAGTGACGTCATAAAGTTTTATCCTTTTCCGATATGGAGCGTTTGTGATGTCGCTGAGCATGAAACGCAACGGTAAACACTGAGAAAAATCATGACTCCGCATGACACCCCCAGGGGGAGTTCACCAAAACGACACCCCAAAACTCCCAGGTGGTACTTCTCATTACATATTGGGTGCCGTTGCGTGAGCATTGATAAGAGGGGAAAGTGCACTACGATTTGACGATGAGGGGTTGTGTTGTTGTTGTGTTACTGTTACCATCACATTGTGTGTTATGCAAAAAAAAACTATGTGTTATGTATGCAGGGGCGCGGGAACTACTTTCCGACTGGGGGGGCACACCATAATAGAGGTCAACCTAGGGTACCCCCAAATCTAGTTTTCTCACCGGTTTTAGGCCACTTATTTTTCACCCCTCGGCTTAAAAAAAAACATTTGCAAAAAAAGTGTGGTATTCCGTCTCAAAGCTGTGGGGGCACCGCCCCCACGGCCCCAGAGTTGGGGGGGGGGGCAAGCTGCCCCCACTGCCCCCCGGCTCCCGCGCCTATGCATGTATGCAGGTCTTTGTCTATGATTCCGGGATAACCCGTCGACCGGCCCTAGCGGTGTTGCAGGGCCGGTTGGCCGGCCGGGCCTGCGGCGCGCCGCTCAAACGAGCTGGCGCGTCGCAGGCCGGCCGGTGACAGGGGCGCCGCCCCGTGGCAGGTGTATCACGGGGCGGCGCGGGTGGGGGCGGCGGCCCGTCCGGACCTCTGGGCGGTGTTTCACGGGACGCTGCTACCACGCTGCTATCAAATTGCGCGAACTGACGTCACACTTGTGGTAGTGTTGGAGCAATGGGCCTGTTGATGTTTCCATGGAAACCCAATTTGCCACGTGTAAAAGCAGCGTGCTGCTATCACCGGTGAAACAGGGCCCTGGAGAGGTAATCTATAGCACTCCCCAGACGGGGAGGTAACCAACAGATCTCCCCGGGGCCGGGACGGTCCGAGCCGATGTTACCGGCGCCGTCCTCCGCCCGGCCGGATGGGCCACAGTCACACACGCCAGCCGATGAAGGCCAGGACAAGTAATGTGTCGAATGATAGATGTATGTTCGTATGTGGAATAAATGTCCCTCAATCTGAAACAAACTTAACCCGCGACCTGGTGGGGGGGGGGCTATTTTTTGCCCCCCCCCCCTCCAGACTTTTCGATATATCTCCAGAACCGCTGCGCCGATCGTCACCAAACTTTCAGTACCCTCCCGGACATCAATTTTACACATTGTGACCAAAAATTTTCCCAAAGGCTATGATAGGTTGGCCGGAAATGACGTCAGAGTGACGTCATGTATTGCCGTTTTCGACCCAAAAAAGGGTTTCGCAGGAAGAGCTGTCAGGCCTATAGCTTTGCAAATACAGAAAAATGATAAACACATAAAAGCTGTAGATTGGACAGGGCTACAAAACTGCTATCTCGGATTTTGAAATTTTTGGATTTTGACCCCCAAAAATAAAAAAAATAGATTTTTTGGATATAATAATCGAAAAATCCAAAAAGTTTTTTGAATTTCGCAAAAACCGGAATACATGTGATAGTCCTTACCACCTTCCATCCACATACCAAATTTGAGATTGATACCTCTTTTTTTTGGCGAAGTTATAGCGAAAAAACTGTTCAAAATTGATGACGTCAAATTTTCAAACTCAATTTTTAGCAATTCTAGACCCCGTAGCGCAAAACAAAAACCAACATTAGACTCCCCGTGACAAGCTGCATCGAATCAATACCCATTTTATGCAACACTATCAACTTTAAAATTTGACCTTTTTTGGCCTGACCTTGACCTGACCTTGACCTGAACTTCACCAGAAAGTGACCTAAGCCGTACCTGATAGTCTTATAACCAACACCATTGAGTTGGAAATGAAAAATTGGCCATAAAACATGTATCACACAACCTCAGTAAAGTTGGGCTCATGTGACCTGACCTGTGACCCTTGGTGACCTGACATGTGACCTGACCTGGTATTGCCAGTGACCTCTAATAGCAACATATCTACTAGGCAACTGACGCCCTACCGCTGATTCTCGACAAAAGGCGTTTTCCTCGGTGTTATAGCGCATTTTTTAGAAGACCCGTGAACGGTGAAACATTTCATCTTTGACCTGACCTGTGACGTCATCGGTGACCCCGAGGTCAATGAAATTTGGTTTCGTTCGACAAATTTGACAGGCCTTTCGAACGCCGTTTGAATTTTGATGATCCATCCAGTAGTTTCGGAGATACGAGGGGGGGGGGGGCAAAAAATAGCCCCCCCCACCAGGTCGCGTTATAAACAGACCCCACCAGGGCGCGGGTTAATCGGAATATTGCACCCGTCACCCCTCTGTATGAAACTGAGGTCATCTCTGGTCATGAAAGGTCACCAGCCGTTTTTTGACGAATTTTTGGGAGACGTGCTAGAGCGGTGAAAACACGTCGGATGTGTTAAGCTCGACGATACGGATCGAATGATATGAAACAAGGCCCTTTCCGGTCAGGTCATGACATTGACCTGAGGTCAAATTTTCAAAATGACCTTTTAACCCTATTAGTGGCAGGCTCCTGGCTAACCCATATTAGTGGCAGGGGGGGGGGCTGTTTACGACCCCCCCTTGATATCTCGAGATCTAACCGGCCGATTTTCAAAATTCAAACGGCATTCGATTTGGCTTAACGAGATCTACATTTCTAAAAAAAATAAAATTAAAAAATGTCAATAGGGGGGTAGAGGGGGGTAAAAACGGGCAAATTGCAGATACATTTTAGACTGTTTATCACGGCCAGGTTTCTGAACCAATCTTAACGCAACTTTTGCCGATCGATAGAGAATGAACCAGGAATTCACATGGATCCTAAAAGTATGCATTTTCAAAAATCATAGGCGGATACAGATCATTGAGATTGGGGGTACACAAAAAGTATAGTAAATAAGGTTTTTGTTGGGACTGTTTCTAAAAAGGGTGGCAATGGTCTTGTTATGTTACAATTTTCTTATGAGAGAACGACTAAAATTGTATTGGTCATGCATAGGCGGTGTCAGGGCACCTATGTTGGGAGGTAAAAAATAACCCCCCTTTTTGGACGCCTGGATCCGCCTATTATAGCAAAAACGTGTCAAAAGAGGATGCACAATAACTTTGTATATGCTATCACATGATACCTTTCATTCACTGTTCGTAAAACTGGTGCAGCATCGTGATCTTCGCCCAAATGACTCGCTTCACGAATAGGACCCCCAATTCCCAGTGCTCTGGAGCCGCCCCTGGTAAAGTTATGAACTTGAAATTTTTAGGGAATGTGCCCAATTTAGTTTTGGGAAAAGTCAGAAAAATTCAGCATCGTAGCTTCAGCGGTTTCGGAGATATTCCCGAAAAACCTGAGGGGTGGATAAAAACAACCCCCCCTGCCACTAATAGGGTTAAGGTCAACTTATGGTTTATTTGACGCGTCTCGACGAGAGGAACACGATACTGGTAAGATAAATGACGGATATGTTTTGTGCGCGGCAAACTGCCCCCCCCCCCCGGGGACGCATTTCAAAACTGGGGGGCATGAATAGCCTCCCCTCAGTAGGGGGCGCGGATTAATATCGCAATCAGCATGTGCCGTAAAACGCAAGTGGTCGAAAACGAGCTTAGCATATTTTGAGTAACAGACAATACTATTACTTTATGCTTAGCAGCCTCGACTCCTACTCCGTCTTGTGCCGGAAACGTCGTTCGATCCGACTCTGACTCCGACTCTGACTCCAAATCACTGACCCGTAGTCTACAGTATGTTCTTTACCAAGATATTCGACTTGCCACAGGTTCTCGAGACCACGACACAGGCTCTATCATGATCATGGCACCGGCGTCGGGACCTTGCACGGAGCTGATAGATTGACCATGGTACGATAGTGCTATCAAAGGTGACTGCGATAACAGAGTAGAACATCGGCGGACAGGAAGGGTCTCCCGGGTGGGGCACTTCTCCTCAGACGCTGTGACTGTATCCATCGAGGGAATCTTTCTTACCTACTGGTCTGCTGGAGACTGAATCAACTATCTTCTGCTTCGTGCCGGAGGCTCGGTAAGTAATTCATTATATCATTTTTTATAAGGTAATGATTAGCAATTGAGTTACCATCAACAATATCATCGTGAATCCGTGTTAACTCAGTTAAATATGTGAATTTAGTTAGTTATCATTGGATAAAACTAGATAGATCTCGAGGCAGTTCTACACATTAAAATCAGGATTCTTTTTTTACTTATCTACTTAGCTTTTCTCTACACTTGCAGTAAGTTCTTTGCGGAAAACCTCCAACTAAAATAGTCCCAGTAATTTTCACCAACACACACGGAATAAGATCTGAGCCTTGACCGGGAGCAAGTGTAGTTTTTTTTTATGGAAAAGTACACTTCAAGTATAAGTTTTAACTCGCCCAAACTGTGTTTTTTTAGTATTGATGATAACTGTACGCTAACTTTGGCATCACTCAATAGTGGGCTTATTGACTCCTGTCTTATGCCTCTCAGAACTCTCAGGCTGAATTCAAAGCAGGTCCAATGGCCCTACGTCGGCCTCTAAGAACCCCACGCCAGTCTCTAAGGGCTATACGACGACCTCTGAGGACCCCACACCAGTCTTGAAGGACCCTCAGTCGTCCTTTGAGGGAACACATAAGGCCCAAAAAGCTTAACCCGGCAGGGGCGATGGGCCTCCCGGCCACCTTCCGCGCGGTGGCCGGTGGGGGCATTTTTTGCCCCCTTGTATCTCCGAAACTACTGGACGGATCCGTAAAGTTCGAACAGCGTTCGAAAGCCCTGTCAAATTTGTCGAACGAAACCTAATTTCGTTGATCTCGGGGTCACCGATGGCGTCACAGGTCAGGTCAAAGATAAAATGTTTGACCGTCCGCGGGTATTCTACGGAATGCGCTACAACATTGAGTCATAAAACGCATTTTGTCGAAAATCAGCGATAAGGCGTAAGTTGCCTATTACATATGTTGCTATTGAAGGTCACTGATGATACAAGGTCAGGTCACAGGTCAGGTCACCAAGGGTCAGCACATGAACCTAACTTTACTAGGGTTGTGCGATGCATGTTTTATGGCCAATTTTTCATTTCCAGCTCAATGGTGTTATACGACCATCAAGCACGGTTTAGGTCACTTTCTGGTGGAGGTCAATGTCAGGTAAAAAAGGTCAAATTTCGAAGTTGATAGTTTTGAATAAAAAGGGTATCGATTCGATGCAGCTTGTCACGGCGAGTCTAATTGTGATCTTTGTTTTGCGCTACGTGGTCTAGAATTGCTAAAAATTGAGTTTGAAAATTTGACATGATCAATTTTGAACAGTTTGTTCGTTATAACTTGGTCAAAAAAAGAGGTATCGATCTAAAATTTAGTATGTGAAATGTGAATAGAAGTCACTAGGGGCTATTACATATATTCCGGTTTTTCCGAAAATCGAAAAACTTTTGGTTTTTTTTGGCCATTATATCAACAAAAAAAAAATTGGGCGGGGTCAAATTCCAAAATTTTCAAATTTTCGAGATAGCAGTATCGTAGCGCTGGTAATTCTACACCTTTTATGTTTTTTTACATTTTTTCTGTATAATCAAAGCTGTAGGCCTGACAGCTCTTCCCGCGAAACCTTTTGTTGTTCGAAAATGACAAAAATGACGTCACTCTGTCGTCATTTGCAGCCAACCTATCATAGCTTTGGGAAAATTGTTTGGTCACAATGTGCATTAGCTACTCCCGGGAGGGAACTGAAAGTTTGGTGACGATCGGCGCAGCGGTTCTGGAGATATATCGAAAAAACTAAAGGGGGGAATGCCCCCCACCGCCTGGAAGGTTAACCCGCGACCGCCTGTGGGGTCGAATCCGACCCCCCCCCCGTTTTTCACGAATAACTCACGAACCGCTTACGCCTCACGCTATCAACTTGAAACTTCGTATGCCTTCTCCTTCATCAATTTGACGGCTTTTGTCAAATTTTTATGCAAATTTTTCAAACACTTTTTTGAGATATATCGATTTTATTGATGTAACTACATGGCTTTTTTATCAAAAAATGGTAAATGTTTGAAAAATCGCGAAAAATCAATGATTTAAGCAAATTGCAAATTAAAGACATGAAAAGACGCAGCTCAATGAGTTCTTTAAAAAGGCTATCTTGCTTTTCCCATAAAGTGCGTTTTTGACCCCTAAAAACTACTAAAGACTATTTTTTTTAAGCAGCTAATAAAATCAAAATTTTTAAAAACCTTCAAAAAAACGGAATCTATGTTATAGAGCTCTATTAGAACCTTACATGTTTCAAATTTGGACTTTTTATCTTGATTTTTTACCCCCAAATTGTAAAAAATAGCTCCAACATGTAGGTATAGGGCATGGTGACGTCATGCGCATTTTCGTGAGTTTGAGCCATTTCTGAACATCGCATGTGAAAACAAATGGCAGCATTAGATTCCTGGGACAAACCTCGTCTAGAAAAGTGCATTTTTATGTCAAAATAAAAAAATAAAAATTGATTTTTTTCTTGATGTATAATATAAACGACTTTTTATGCTTGCTGATGACCAGAACAGTGACTTTGGGTTACATATAACCATGACCATCGGATTCGGCGTGAAAAATAAGCCATTGTCGCCGACCTTGTCGTGCCTCTGGCATTACCTCACCACTCTGGTCAAAGCGGTTTTGTAAAGTCCTGAGGGCTTGGTTGTACAGGGCTCCGTCATACAGCATGCCCGCGATCGCCCGCCTCGCCTTTCCCGCCACAGCTGCCTGTAGATGGGCCGTTCGCTCGGCATCACTGAGCGACGGTTGAATGTGGACGAGCGCGTGGAACAGGCCGATCCACCGCGGCCATTCTGAGGAGTCTCCTGTGTACACCGGAAGCTGGAGTTTCGGTATACTTTTCGCAAACGCAGATGCGTGCACCGATGGTCGCATTGCGGGCTGCGCTGGTGTCTGGTGATTTGGGAGTTCATCGATCCATGACTGCCTGCTCCGTTGGGGGCTAGCTGGGACGGGGTCATTGAATGATAGTTGATGTTGTAGGAATCTCGCCACTGTCTGCTGTCTCCCCCGCTCGTCTTCTACGTCTTGTGGTGGATCGGTGTTGATATTCTCTCCCAAAAAGTCATCCCTTCTTTCGGCGTTCAGCTGATCAGCTGCGATCTGACTTCGAAGTTGTGCCTCCAGCTCAGCTTGTTCCGCTTCATGCTTTGGCGATTTGCAGCTCACGTCGTCTTCTTACTTCATCTTCTTGGCGCCTCATCTCCTCTTGCTGCCGCATTAACGTCTCTTGCTGCCGCATCAACTCGTCTTCTTGTTGCTGCTTCAGCTCCGCTTCCTGTCGCTCAATCTCCAGTCGTTTTTCCAACCGTTTCACATGCAGAGCCTTTTTTCGCGCCGTGATCTGAGCCTCAGCGGATGCGCCGGAGGCTGACGAACTGGAGCTCACCCGAGACGACGCGCGGCGGGCTGGGCCGTGACCCAGCTGTGAGTCAGGGCGCGGCTGCTGCAGCGTCGAAGTCTCCATGGTTTCTTCCCTTTCTTTCGTGACAGGAACTCCGCCGATAGCGCCTTCACTTTGCAGTTTTGTTTTTCCATTTTCGATGAAGTATCCTCCGCTTCTGTTTTCTTCTGGCCTGATCCGGCCCGGAGGACCATTAACCCTTGCCCGCACATGGGGGGGGGGTTGCCACCCCCAGGCAGTCTTTCTGCTCTGCACTCAACATTTTTAGAGCTAGAAAGCTGATTTTTCGTATAGCTGCTCGTCTATCCTTTCTTGATGTTCACTGAAAATTTCAAGTTTCTGTGATTTTTGGTTTCGGAGATATGACCTTGTTTTTCAGGTCATGTCATGACCCAAATGGCCAATTCTCAACATCTTGCGTTTGCCATGGGCCTTGTGAGCTTTTGACACCCTGATTCCGGCCTTTTTTGCCAGTCTTACCTCCCACCTATCATGGAACATGTTGTTCGACGATGTACAGGGGTCAAGGTCAGGGTCAAGGTCAACCTAGGTCATCTAAGATAATTGAGTTTTAGGCAAGCTGAATTTACTTTTTGTGAAGTTTTTTGACTGCATTTTTGGTAAAAGCTTCTCAGATCATGATTTCATGTGATATGGACCCAAAAACAATCGGTGCACACATCAGTATACACACAGACACACACAGACATAGAAACACATATAATTGACCTTGACCTAACTTGACCTGAAATGACCTCAGCAGCAAATTTCTGGTCGGATAGTGTGACAAAGAGGTTCTAGCTGGCTTGGCACCAGAAAACAGCATCGTCATCGGTATTTGATAAGCAGCGCACTTGATATCCAACGGTGACTCAAAACAGCAACATTTTTTAATTTGACCTGACCTGGAAGGTCAATGACTGACCTGAGAAGGTAAAACTGGGTATCATTGGATTTGTCTCTTCCCAAAGAATCTTTTTAGTCTTTACTGCTAAGCTCTATCTCCAACAGGAACGAAATGGCGCGGGGGGGGGTGGCAGCCCCCCCCCATGTGCGTTCTAGGATGGGAAAATGGCATGTGCGGGCGAGGGTTAAAGGGACTATCCCACCTTCTAAAATGTTGTTAAAACCAGTTAAATTGTGCCCGACTTTATAGATTGGATGACCAGGAACACGGTTCTGGCATTTATTTTTCATTAAACATCTTAGGCTTCCCATATTCCAAACACAAACTTTCAAATATGTGACGTCACAGCCCAAAATTACCTCCTTCCCCAGGCCACATTACTGTCATAAAGCTGATTCTTTTTGCTCTGTAGGCACCACAACAAAGTTCAGACCAAGTTTTAAGCGATTTTTCAACGAACAAACCCATTTAAATCAGAATGACTAAACGAGGTGACGTCACACTAACGGTCGCTCCATGTTGAAGATAGGGCCTTATACAAGGCCCATTTTCAAATGAAGGGAACGAATTTCTTCAACACCAAGAGGCCGCGGGGGTTGCAACCTAGATAGATAGTGGTTTCTGAACCTCGCCGCAAACTTGGCTATCTCAACTCAAACCCCATGTTAAAGGTGGGATAGTCCCTT